GGTCTGACCACCCACGCAAAAACAAAGTATTCAGCACAAAAATAAAACAAATTAGGATAAAAAAAGGCTAGAAGCGAACGCTCCGGGGCGAAGATGCTGACGCCAAAGTAACGTGGTTGGTGGAAGAATGAGAGCAAGGGGAGCAGGAATGGGACTGTGGGGGGGGGGTACTGGGCGTGTCGCAGTCGCCACACTTGTCGTTGCCCTCGCGAGCAAGGATCTTCTCTAGCCTCTCCGCCCAGGGCGCTCTTCCGCTCTGCCTCGTTGACATGCTCGCCCACCCTGACCCTATTTATTTTCTTCTGGAAGGCGCATATTATTTTAATCAATTTAAAGAACGAAAACATACAAAAAAACAATCAAAAAAAGAAAACAAGATCGAACGAGAAAAGAAATCCGTACTTGCCCTCGTCGAAGGACCGAATCCAAGTTCCTTCGTGCGCGGTCGTTGTTATCGTGTGACTGAATCAAAGGCCCGAACCAATCTTGCGTTGCCGGCACGACCACAACTTTGTTCAATTTTAAACGGGATAAACCCACCAATCGTGGCGAAGAAATAAGAAGGAAACACAATTAAGTTTCCCGGATAAAACCAGGAGCTTACTTTAGCTATGCTTTTTTCTTTGGCTCCCTTTTTTCTATCATTTATTCTCAACCTCTACCACTACCAGGCCACTCGAGCTCCCTCAAAGGTACCTTGCCGCCCCGCCACCTCGTCGCGTCTATGTCAAGTGATGATCAAAATTACAGACCTGTTCTGAAACACCGTGTGGTCAAAAGTAATTGCCTTTGTCTGATTTCTCCTTCATCTTCTCGCTTCACTGTCTCTGTGCCGGCCACTGAAACTAATCTAGTGTCTCCAATGTCTAGGTTCGCATCTCCAACGGGCTCACACTACCTCCATTTTCCTGAGGCGTGGGTCGTTTCATCTTCACGAGACATAACGCTCCGTAAGGTGAAGCGGCCCACACATCAGGAATCAATCCGCCATCAGAAATAATCAGCCATCTTGCTCCGGAACATAGCTCCGCGATTGATCTGCACCCAGCGATTGGCTAACGCTACCCGACCCAGTCGAAGCAACATCTGAATATTGTTCTTGTCATTTGCCAAGCGTAATGTAAAGTTCATAGAGAGTTTAGCCCTTTTTCTTTTTCTTGTCTTCCTTCTTCTTCTCCTTCTCCTTTCGCTTCTTCTCCTTCTCCTCGTCCTTCTTCTTTTTCTTCTCCTCCTTGTCCTTCTTCTTCTCCTCCTTGTCCAGCTTGTCCTTGCTGCTGCCGCCGCTGCTGCTCTTCGACGGTCGCAGTGTCTGCGCTCGCAGCAGCGCGCTCGACGAAGTGGTGCGCTGTGGCGCCGCCGCGGCCGCTGCCGCAGTACCCAGCACCGTGGCCGAACGCTGTCGCTCGATCCCGAGCGCCTCCCGCTTGGCCAGCGATGCAGCGGCGGTGGGCACCGACGACGCAGACGATGCCAGCGGCCCCGCGCTTGCGTCATCGGCAGCCCAGCTCTTGCGCTGATCCCCGCGCGTCGAGAGGGCATCGCTCGAGGCCGACGACGCCGGCGGCACCGCCCTGGTGCGTGGATTGGTCGGGAGTGCGCTGGCGCTGACGGTCTGCTGCCCCGAGGAGAGGCCGATGCCGCCGGAGGGCATCGGTGGCAGGGCGGGCGGTGGGCCGGCCGCGGCTGCCGCGGCGGCGATGGCCTCCTCGTTGCGCTTGAGCAGCACGTGGGCCGGCAGGGAGAGGCGCTTGTCTCGTGCGAGGGCCGCGGCGGAGGCCGGCGGCGGGAGGGCCGACGGAAGAGGCGGCAGCGGCGGAGGGGCAGAGCCGCCCTCGGCTTCCGGTGGGGCGGTGAGAGGCGCGGCGGAGGGGTCGAGCGAGCGACGCGACGTGCGCGAGGGAGGAGGCGGGCGAAGCTGCCCCTCGCTCGCCGTCTGGGGCAGCGGTTGGTGCTGCTGCTGTTGCATTAGCACGGCCGCGGTGGCCGATCGTCGGCGATCACGTTCCATCTCCCTCTGCCTGCTGGCTTCGGGCTTATCCGCGATGACATCCGCGCCCAGATTCGCAGACTTGCGCCGCCTGAAGACAACAAACAGGCAATGAGCACAAGTAGCTGGCTGTGCGTGTGCGGTCGTGCGCGTGCGAGTGTCGTGTCGTGTCGTTACCCTCTCTCCTTAATCGCTGCCTCGATTTCGCTCGACATCACGGGTACGGGCATCATGTTGTAGGCTCCCGCGGTGATGGCCGTACGACTCTTGTCAGCGCTATCCTTGTGGTCGGCCGGTGGCATCGAATGGACGCCTTCTCCTGCGCCGCCGCCTTCCTCTCACTCTCTGCCTGCCTCTTTCTCCTCGCCTCCTCTTCCGCCTGTCGCTTTCGCAGCTCCTCCGCAGCTTCTCTCGCCTTTCTCTCTTGCTCCTCCCGCGCGAGCAGTCTCGCCTTCTCTCTTTCCGCTTCTCTTTCGCTCTCCCTCTTCAGCGCCTCCGCCGCTTCGTTCTTTCGATTCTGCTCCTCGCCACTCTCGCTCGCCGCTCCCGCAGGAACGACCGCCGCCGCCGGTCGGGGCAGCACATGCCTCGCGTCCTGCTGGGCCGGAGCGGCGTTCGGCAGCATCACCTCCCTGTCCGCGTCGATTCCTTCCTGTTGCAGCAGATCGCTGAGCGACTGCTGACGCAGCAGCCGAGCGTCGCCGTGCAGGACGTGCACCAGTCCCGCCGGCACGGCTCGTCGCGGGCCGGACTCATCGCCGAACTTGCGGCCGATCCACCACTCCTCCGCGAGCCCCGAATCCGCGGTCGTGGTCGTCGGGCCGACCTCATTGCCGAGCCGGGCGTCGATGACGAAAACGAGGCCCGGCCGAAGCTCGGCCTGCCAGTTGCGCGCGGGCTTGCGTGCGTGCAGCGCGATGGCTCGCACGCTCGTAGCCCCGTGCTGCTGCTGCAACTGGCCGGCCCCTCGCGCCAGGGGCAAAGTGTCGACGGCCTCAGCGGCAATGCGCGGCGAACCGAAGGGAGAAGAAGAAGAAGAAGCCGCGATTGTGGGCAGTGCCGGCGCGATGGTGCCCACAGGGAACGGGTCGTCGGCGTAGGTCGGCATTTCAAAGGGCAGCGAGTAGTCCTCCCTGTGACGCGGCTCACTCGTTTTCTGTGACACAGAATCCAACGAACAACAAAGTCAGTTGACACTCGCGAGCAACACGTCGACGTCGCAGCGTTCGGCACGGAGAGAGCACAAGTGCTGAACTGAGCTGAGCGTAGCGGCGGCGGCTGCTGCTGATCATACCTTCAACCCGAAGCTCTCCCTGAGATTGAGGGCGAAGAGCATGCGCTGGTCCTGCTCTCTCCGCACCTCGTCGAACACCTTCCGGCGCGCCTTCTCCTTCACCGCCTCCCATTCGCGTCGCAGCCGCAGTTCCTCCTCGATCGAAATGGCGGAAAGCTCTGCTTCTTTCATCTTCTCCTCATTCTCCTCCTTATCGAGCGTCCTCTGCCGCTCTTCCGCTTCCGCTATGCGCTGCTGTTCCTGCTTCTGTCGCTCCACCCGCTCCGCCTCCTCTCTTTTCGCTCTTTCCTCCTCTTCCGCTTTCGCTGTTGCTCTTTGTTCCTCGCGCCCGGCTTCGTTCGTCTTCTCGCGCCACACGTCGGAGGAGACCTGCAGCCGCAGCTCGACAACTCCGCCGGCGTCGGACACCGCCCGGAGGGCATCGCTGACGGTGAAGTCCACCACTTGCCACCGCAGCGCCTGGAGCTGCGCTAGTATGCCCTCCTTGAGCCGCTCCACCTCCGTGCTCAGCACGCCCACGGGCTCATACTCCATCATCTGTGTCTGCCAATCTGTGCCAAACACTTGAAGGGAAGATGGAGACGTCCAGAGTTCAGAGGTGTGGGCACGGAACGGAGGGAAACAGATTGAAGAGTGGTGCAATCAATCAAAGCAAAGGCCAACGCCCCCCCCCCAAATCACCGCAGAGAACGAAAGAGACAAAAGAGAAGCACAAAAGGTTACCTTACCTGAGGAATTAGCCAGACCCGCTTCACGAAGACCACCAGTACTGACCAAAGCTAGCCTCACCCTTTGCGCTCGTGCTTACACTTCTTCTTCGCTGTTGTTCGTCTCCACCCGGTAACCTGTGTGGCGCCTGACAACCAAAACAGCCCGAAATAGCCCTCGAATAAATTAAAATTAAAAATAAAAAACATAACACAACAAAACAAATCTCAAAGATGACGACGTTGTCCAGCCGCACACCAACCCCATTCAGGTCTTTACCTCATCTTGACCTCTTGCCCATCCTACCATGGATAAGAGATTTTAATGGTGTGGGTCACATTTACGACTTCACGCTGGACAAGCAGGTGGGCGCTGACGCACGGCCACGGCCGATCTAAGCGGCTGTGGTCTTCGCTGCTTCACCCTCCCACCATCCAGCGCAGCCGCCAGCGCGGCATCGTTGAGGTCTCCACCCTCACAACGAACGCGTCACTCGAAGAAGACGGCAGAGGAAGCGACAAAGCTGAAGGGGCGCAGAGCGGGGAGAGTGTGCTGCAGTGGCAGGAGCGGATGGAGCGACGGTACAAGTACGAAGACATCACGCGGCAGCTCTACACCTACTTCGAAGCCCTCCACGCGTTCCATCATCAACGTGCCCCCGACATCGCGGCAGCAGACACGAACACGAACCGAGCCACAACCACCGCAGACATGATGCGCACGCAGTTCGGGTTCGCGCTCGTCAAGCGAAGGAGCACCATACCCGATGCGGGGCACGGTACACGATGGATTGCAGGTGATGGCTGTGTGCTCCTGGCTACTCAACAACATCCCTCTCCCCGCGCGCAGGTCTCTTCCTGGAGGGCGCCGTGAGCGAAGGGACTTGCGTGTGCATCTATCCTGGCGCAGTCTACCAGGTACCCCATACGAGCCGTGATCGCCCGTGACGTTGTTGACGCTGATCTCTTCTCTGCATTGTGCACTCTCCACCATCATCATCATCACAAAGCCAGGGGACCCGCTGCTCTTGCCGTCGCTTCGAAACGAGTACCTCCATTGGCCTCTCGATCTCTTCTGGTCTTGCTGCCGGCGTGTGAGGCCACTGACGTTACCTTCCCTTGTGCCACGCGCGGTCGTAGCTACCTGATTCGGCGCTCGGATGGGTCGTCGGTGGACGGACGACCGCGGGGCCTTTCGCGCTACTTCTACCGTTCCATCTACGAAAAGTTTGGACCCTTCGCTGGGTAGCTCTTCCCGCCCCAGTCCTTTCGAGGGCTCGGTTGGTGCATGGCGGTGGTTGTTGGGTTTCTGACCGTTGAGTTGCGATCGTGCCTGGTGTGTCGGCCTAGGTTGTGCGATGCGACGTGGCTCGACATTAAAGAAGGAGGCACGAACGAGCACAACCCGTTCGGATGGGGCCACTTGATCAATCACAGCGACGTGCCCAATGTCATGTACGGCCATCTGCGTTGATTGTTGTTGATCAGCTCTCAGAGCCCCCACTCGAACGCTCACCACATTCACTCGTGTGGACACGCAGGTACTTCGAGTACCAGTTCCCTCCAGACACGCCCGCGCACTATCTGTCCTCCATCCCCAACGTGTTCTACTCCAGCAAGGATCCAGCCTGCGCGGTACGTGTTGAGCAAAGTCATGATCACGGTGTGCTGGCATCGCTCACACAGCCTTCTGCCAATCGTTCCTCCACACACGCACAGGTCAAGACCATCGTGCTGATGGCGATGCGCCGCATACGAGACGAAGAGCTCTTCTCCAACTACAACTTCATCGGGCGAGCCACACCAGAGAGTAGACGCGATAAGATAATGCGATAATTAAAATATGAAAATATAAAATACAATACTATATAAATACGCGTTGGCCAAATAGTATAAACTGTTCAAATAATAATGCCCAACCTCCGTGTCTCCGGGGTCCGTTGCGGAGGCAAGGGCGGTGAGTTGTTGCTGGTGCTCGCTCGGTGCGACGTGGCGACGTGCAAGCTGGCGTCGCTCGTAGAAGATTGTTTGATCGCCGAAGAGGAAGAGGCTAAGGTGAGAGAGGAAGAGGATTGGAAGGACAACACATCTTCGAAGATGACGGGAAACACGAAGAACAGCGGCCAGGCGGGAGCGCAGACGCTGGTGGGGTGGGGCGCGGGCCTCTTCGCCGCACACATCGTGTCGGGCTACATGCAGGAGATGCTGTTTGCCATCAAGGGCTACACCTTCGGATTCTACCTCACCCTTGCGCGCTACGTCATCAACGCCCTTCTGGCCTTCGCCTACCTGCGGCTCTTCGACAATGGCGCCAATCTCAGATATCTCCATTTCCACTTTCGATGGATCTTCTCTCTACTCGGGGGCACAAATCGCCGGTGGTGGTGGTGGGAAGAGCGCAAGGAGAAGGACGACGACGATGCCAACACAACCGGCGATGACGGCCCACCCTCCAAGGAGGTGGGAGAAACAACTGCCGATGTGAGCGTTGGATTGGCGGAAGGGGAAGACGGCAAGGTCCTCCCGTTCAACAATCGCTTCCTCACCCAGTCGAAGGGATCAATCATCCTCGAGATGGGCGCTGAAGCTGCTGACGCAGCGGCCACCCACAGCCTCGGGACGGTCGGGCAGAAGGTGCCGCTCCAGTACTACCTCCTGCTGTCCTTCCTCTCTGTCATGGCACTGGGCCTGGGCACCTCTGCCCTCGCCTTCCTCAACTACCCCACCAAGGTCATCCTCAAGACTTCCAAGCTGGTGGTGATCATGGTATGTACACGCACTCCTCGGCTTTTGCTTTTGGTGTTGCTCACTTCCTCTGCTCTCGTCGCTACGCAGCTGTTTAGTCGGATCATTCTGGGCAAGAAGCACTCGGGCGCAGAGTACGCGATGGCCATGTCGATGGTGGCCGGCCTCGTGCTCTTCACCCTGGGTGACTACTACGTGAAGATCGACGCCTCGTCGGCCGTCGTCGAGGCCTCACTCGAGTCTTCGAACCTCGCTGCTGGTGATGCTGCGGCTGGTGCGGGCGCCGAAGCTCAGAGCGACCCGATGGAGGAGAGCTTCGAGTGGCGAACGGCCAAGGGCGTGTTTCTGCTCTTCCTGTCGCTCATCTTCGAGGCCATCAACGTCAACATGCAGAAGAAGATCCTCGTCGGCTACGAACGCTCGTCACCGGCCGAGCTCGTCTTTTACAACGCGTTCTTCGGCTCGCTGGTGACCTTCGTCATTGTGCTGGTCAACGGCGAACTCTTTGCCGCCTGGGAGTTTGCCGTGACTCACCCCGACTGCCACTTCTACGTGATCGGCTTTGCCCTCTTCTCCTCCTGCGGTTCGTACTCGTTGGCGTCCACGGCCATCGCCGCCGCACCCACCAGTAACTAACCCGATGGCTTCATGTGCACTATTCGTGGGCAGGTGTGGCATGTGCTATCATGGTGCTGCATAACTTCGACCCGATGACGATCGGTAAGGCTTTCCACCTTCCCACTGATCTCGGTCTCATTCGCGCCATATGAACGTTCAACCTAACCCACTTCACTTGATTGCAGGCATCGTTGTGACGGGAAGGAAGTCCATCACCGTGCTCACCTCGTTCATCCTCATCCCGAAGCCCGTCTCCATTCATCATCTCTCCGGAGGGTACGAGTACCTCACTCACATCTCTGCCTTGTGCCTTGGCTGACCACATGCCGTGATGATGCAGGATGCTCGTCTTCGTTTCGCTCTTCATGAGCGCCTGGTGGAAGAGCTTGGAGGGGGTCAGCAAGCCGAAAGACTTTGCCATGGACTGAAGAGGAAGATGGTGAGGGCAACAAAGGCGATGCACACGAGAGAGTCGGCGTCACCGACGAGCATATCTGCGGAGCGACGTGTTCCTCAAAGAGTTGAAGGAAGCGGAAGACGGTGATGCCAGAGAGGGAGAGAGAGAAAGAGAGAAGGAGCGCCCTACACATGACACCAACACCACCGATATTTATTGTAGCGCGATCAGCTGGTTGAGCCTGGCCCAACCATTGGGTGTGCTGAAACAAAAGCGCAGCACGACGCTCGCACGTCCTGTGTGTTCTCTTGGGCATTCGTTCATTCGTGTTTCTTGGCTGGCGCGTGGTTGTTGGTACCTGACATTCGCAGGTGTGCTAGAACACGAACAAGAGTGACACTGGCGCCCTTGTGCTGTGGATCATAAGACGATGAGTAGTACCCATTGGCCACAGCACACCCAGAAGGGGAAAAAGGACGTGTCATGCAGCCTTTTTGTGCGGACTCAGTGAGCTGTGTTGGTTCCGGGCTCCGCCCAATACGAACCTACCACCCGCCCGCATCACTCCTCCTTCTTGTCGTGCGACGTCGCGAACCACTACGCCACACCACTGTACAGACGCACACAAGATGGAGTCAGGCCACCGCGGCCTTCCGCCTCTCTTCGGTGCCTTCACTGCTGCGGTGCTTCTGTTCCTCTCCCTCTCTGGTATGCTCCGCCTGAGAAGCTTCGCAGCCTCTCCGGTCGAACTCAGAGCTCATCGTGCTCTTCGTGCAGGCTCGGTGGAAGGGGTGCGGCTGTATGGCGGTGGAACGTCAACCACGCTCAACGTGTGGAACGCGTGGGTGCGGGCCTACACCTACACCCGCGATGACGTGCAGTACGTGGACCAGCTTCTTCAATCTTTCCCCTTTTTTTTCAACTTTGTTTGTCATCTTCTTTCATTTTGTGTTGGTGGTCATGTTGCCCGGAGCTGTCATATTTGTGTTCCACTCATGATTGGCTGAGCAGAATTACCTCTTTCAGACAGCAAAGACATGTTCTCTCCTACACACCAGCACTAACGCCCCCTAAGGCTTCAATACAGCTCGCTCGGCACCACCCAGGCCTTGCGCACCTACGCCGCCGGCAACGCCGTACGTGTTGTATTAGTCCCGTTTCGGCGAGTCGTTCGCATCATGCGAGTTGGCGAGCTGACCATGAGTGCGGTTATTGCCCGCAGGACTTCATGAGCCTGGATCGGGCCATTCCCGAGGACCAAGTGGGCCTCTATGGCGACCTGGCCCAGTTTCCCATCGCCGGCCAGGCCCTGGTCCTGGCCTACAGCATCTCCACACTCAACTCCACCGACCCTCTCCTGGTACAACCCCCCCACCTCCCTCAACTGCAATTCGCGTCCAAGCTCGTGCCCCCGACAGATGGCCCATCGTTTTTTTCAGATACTCGACAGGAACACCACTGGGCGCATCTGGTACGCGATCGATAAGAATTGTCTAACAGTTCCGGTCTGAACTGACACGTGGGCACAACACGCACACGGCACACGACAGGGCCGGCGACATACTACAGTGGGACGACGAAGCGATCAAGGCTCTCAACCCTGCCCTAGCCGAAAAGCTTCCGGCGGTGAACATCACCCTGGGCTATTCGGACAACACAGTGATCAGCGTGCCCGAGGTTTTCAAGCTCGCGCTCTCCAGCTTCAGCGCGCGCTTCGCCGAGGAACTGGCGGCCTCGCCCGGTCGCAATTTCTCGAACATGCCGCCCGCCCTGCGAGGCACCGGCGTCAACGCCGGCATCAGCTCGCTCACCCGCGCCAACTGGCTCAAGGTGACCACACCACAAAAGACGCGCTTGTCCGGCTGTCGATCGTTTCTCCCTAACACTCCGTGTCGTGCAGACGCAGACGGAAGCGCTGACCTTTGTAAACTACTTTGACGCTGTGGCCGGAGGGCTCAAGTGGGCTCAGATGTACAATCGAGAGAACGTCCTGGTACAGGCCTCGACGGCCAGCGTGCAGTCGGCGATGGCGGCGTTTCTGCCCGCGTTCGGCCAGAGCAACTTCACCGTAGATATCTACGACGCCGTGGGGCACACCAGCTGGCCCATCTCCTACCTCTCCTACTTCTCCATGGGCCGCAACGTCACCGTGTTCGACTGCAACGTCATTCGCGAGCTGCTCAACTTTGTGGCCTGGATCCACACCAACGACGGGTACAACACCACATTGCATATGGCATGCCAGCGGCTTTGAGAATCAGCGTTACTCACGAGTCGGCACACGACACATCACGCGCGCGCACACCACCGCACTCGCGGCATAACACAGCGCCTCTCAAGCGTTGATCGAACTCAACTTTGTGCCGCTCGATGTGACGCTGCGCAAGCGTCTCATTGATCTGCTCAACACGGTCGTATGCAACAATAGGCAGGTGTATACAACCGACTATCTGGTGGGGGTCGGGCCGTCCCTGCCCCTCTACACCGCGTGGGCCGTGGCGCGCAGCTCGACCGACATCAAGGTCAAGTACTACCTGGCCTCCGCCTCCACCGAGGCCGCGCAGCAGCTGGCCTCCTACGACACGGACTTCGGGGCGACCGACAGCGGTCTCCCGGCGTCCTGGCATTCGCTTGCTCCCGATATCGCTCTCCTTCCCATCACCGCCTATGCCGCAGTCCCCGGTACGCACACTCCTTGTTAATTGCACTAGCGACCAGCTGACAGCTAAGCGTGACATGCTACGTGTGCGGCGTGTGCTAGGCTACAACCTGCCCGAACTCTCAGGAAAGACGTTGGTGCTCGACTTCGAGACAATCGCTGCCATCTATCTCAACGACATCACCTCTTGGAATGACACGAGGATCAAGGACCTCAACACGGCCGAGGTCGCGGGTCTCCTGCCCAACCGCTCTATTCTGGTGTGCACCCAGTCCACGTCGTCGGAGACCACGACCCTCTTCACGTCGGTCCTGAGCGCCACTGTGCCCGAATTTGCAGCCGTGGTACGCATGCCATGAACCTGGCTTATCACTGTGCTGAGCAGTGGTGCTGATCACCGGTGCCGCACCGGTTGGCAGGTGACCAGCGGACCCATGGCCACATTTCCGGTGCAACAGTTCGGCGGCAATCGGTCGCTCGTGGCCAATTCCACAGACAACCTCATGACGCAGCTCATCTCCACCTCGTACGCGTTCGGCTTCGCGCGGCTGTACGACATCAAGCTGGTACGTCGCTCCACCGTGCCGTCCCACACCTATCAACTCTTGCCGTCTTTCTAAACCAACGCTCTGCTCCTTGACATAGTCCAAATACCTGGACGCTGCGTCGCTCATCAACCCGGCCGGGTATGCGGTGGCCGCCGATACCCACTCCGTCGTCAGCGCTGTCAAGGACTACCTCGCCAACGGAACCGATCCTTCCTACAGCTCCCTCTCACTCGGTAGGCGCGCCCTCACACTGTGCGCGAGCTTGTTGCTATCATTGTTCACATTCCACATTCCGCGCTGACCACGTGAGCGCGTGTAGGTCCGGGTAACGGGAGCTGGCCGATGGCCACGTTCGGCTCCTTCTTTTACCGCCAGACCAACATGAAGGACTGTTCCAAGGCTGCAGCCCTGGCCTCCTTCTTCTACTGGACGCAGACCGATCCCATAGCTACTGACCTCGCAGAGACGTACGCCGCACACGCACCACCGCCGACGACACGCCACACCTCACACTAACTCCGAATCGCGCACAGGCAAGGGTTTATTCTGTCGACCTCGGCCGAGCCCATCAAGCGGCAGTTCCTCACCCTGCTCAAGAACTTCACGTGCGACAACGTGCAGGTGAGCAGCCTCGCCGTCTGCATCAACGACGGCCAGCTGTGCTCCGACGCCGGCTACTGCGCCACCAACGGCTGCGTGTGCAACACCGACCGCATGGGCACCTACTGCCAGGACTTCATTCCCGTGGACGACGCCAGCAACGACGCCCTCATCATCGGCCTGAGTACCTGCTTCCAGTCATCACCCTGATCTCTGTCCTGTCGCTGTTGCTGACCTCGACCGCGCAACCACTTCATTCATGGCAGGCGTGGCACTGCCAGTCGCAGCGGTGGTGTTGGTGCTGCTGGCCTGCATCGTGCTGCTCCTGCTGATGATGGTCCTGCGACGGAGGGAGCAAGACGGCTGGGAGATCGACTACGAGGAGCTGGAGATGGGCGACGTGCTAGGGTCCGGCGGCTTCGGCGAGGTGTACAGGGCCATGTGGAAGGTGAGCCCCCCCCAACCCTGTTTTCCAATCGTCGTCGTTCTTGAGAGAATTAAGCCCCCACCCAACACACTACTCATTCTCGCGCGGCGGCCAGGGCACTGAGGTGGCCGTCAAGGTCATGGCCTCCGACAAGGCCTCCAAGGAAATGGAGCGGAACTTCAAGGAGGAGGTACAGAGCACCTGGCCTATGGTTGATGCGTACCATGATCCCTACAAACATGCATCCATGTGTATGGAATGGCAGGTAAGGCTGATGACCGCGTTGCGACATCCCAACGTGGTGCTGTTCATGGCGGCGTGCACCAAGGCCCCGCGAATGTGCATCGTGATGGAGTTCATGTCCCTCGGCTCGCTCTTCGACGTACGCCTTGTTCATCTTCCACCTCATTCGATGCGCAACCACGTACGTGTGTAGCTCACTTCTCCTCACTTTTGCAAAAAAGCTGCTGCACAACGAGCTGGTCGTGGAGATCCCGATCGCTCTGAAGGTCAAGGTCGCCTACCAAGCCTCCAAGGGCATGCATTTCTTGCATTCCTCCGGCATCGTGCATCGCGACCTCAAGTCCCTCAACCTGCTGCTCGACTCCAAGTGGAACGTCAAGGTGTGCGCTTCTGAGCACGACACGACACACACGACACACACGACAGCACGTTGGTGGGTGGCCTGACCGTGGGCTACCGGCGCGATAGGTGAGCGATTTTGGCCTGACCAAATTCAAGGAGGACATGAAGAAGAGCGACGCCAAGGAGCCGGCGGGCAGCGTGCACTGGGCCGCGCCGGAGATTCTACAGGAGGCACCCGACATCGACTTTGTGCTCACCGACGTTTACAGCTTCGGCATCATCATGTGGGAGCTCCTGACCCGCCAGCAGCCCTACTTGGGCATGAGGTAACCGCACATGTGTGTGTCGTGTCGTATTCTGTCGTGTGTCGTGTTGCGCTCACGCGTGAATGGTTGCAGTCCTGCGTCGGTGGCTGTGTCGGTGCTGCGCGACGGCCTCCGCCCGACTCTGCCCGAGGGCGACGCCGCCGGCCCGCCCGAGTACGTAGAGCTCATGACCAACTGCTGGAACACCGACCCCACCGTACGGCCCTCGTTCCTCGAGGTCATGACCCGCCTCAGCTCCATGGCCGGCGACGCCACGGGCCTCTCCACCTCCTTCACTTCCACCTCGTCCAAGGGCGGCGGCCACAGCAGCGTGTTCGGCTCCTGGTCCCCCAGCACGACCCACAGCAACTCTCTGGGCACCACCAGCAATTCCCGATCGAGCGACTCGTCGTCGGCCGATGCCGACGCCGCGGCCGCGGCAGCGCTGGAGGTGCGGCCGCCCGAGGGCGAGCTGACGATCGTGTTCACCGACATCTCACGTGCGGCGTCGCTCTGGGAGTTCGACCCGATGGCCATGCGCGACGCCACGGTGCTGCACAACGCCGCGCTGCGCGGCCTGCTCAAGCGCCACCGCGGCTACGAGGTGGTGTTCATCCGCGACCGCAACTCGGGCGAGGGCTCGTTCTGCATGGCCTTCCAGCACGCCGCCGACGCGCTCGCCTGGTGCCTCGACGTCCAGCAGGCCCTGATGCAGGTCGACTGGCCCGACCGCCTGCTCGCCCACCCGGGCGCCGCCGAGGAGTTGGCCGAGAACGGCGCTGAAGGCGGCGGCGTGATGCTCTACCGCGGGCTGCGGGTGCGGATGGGCGTGCACTCGGGCACGACGCGCATGATACGCGACCCCATGTCGCGCCGCGTCGAGTACATCGGACCCACGGTGCACACGGCGGCGCGCATCACGGCGCTGGCCCACGGCGGCCAGATCCTGGTGAGCCACGCAACCCATCGCCAGGTCATCACGAGCCACGAGGACTCGACTCACCATAACATCGCCTGCCTGGGCACCTTTGAGATGCCCGACTCCCCACAGGGTAAGCGCGCGATCACCCGCCATACCATGAATCGTTGTTGTTGTGTTTCACTCAGATTTCGCCTATTAGGGGCGAAGCTGTACGAACTCAAGGCCGAGGGCCTGGAGGGTCGGTTCTTCGGCGGAGTGACGAAGGGCGAGGGCGAGACCGAGCCCAGCGACCCCGTCGAGGGCGGCGGCGAGATGCAGACGACGGTGGGGGACGGGATGGCGTTCAAGGAGGACAACTTCCTAACGTCGGCCAACCTGTGTCGATGGATCATCGACTACAACGAGGTCCAGGTGGGCCAGCAGATCGGGCTCGGCTCGTACGGGGTGGTGTACAAGGGCAAGTGGAAGGGCGTCGACGTGGCCGTCAAGCGGTTCATCAAGCAGAAGCTCGACGAGCGACGCATGCTCGAGTTCCGCGCCGAGATGGCCTTCCTCTCCGAGCTCCACCACCCCAACATCGTACTCTTCATCGGTAACCGACCGCACACGCGCACCACGGCACACACACACACACACACACACACAAAGAGAGAGAGAGAGAGGACCGCACACGCATACGCGCACGCTGACCGATCGCGCATGTCGAACACAGGCGCGTGCGTCAAGAAACCCAATCTGTGCATCGTCACCGAGTTCGTGAAGCAGGGCAGCCTGAAGGACATCCTGCTCGACCCCGGCGTCAAGCTGGCGTGGGTGCAGAAGCTCAAACTCCTTCGCAGCGCCG